CTCCCTTCTTTATGGCCTCCCCAACAAATCTCTTCAGAAGCTACAGATGGTCCAGAACTCAGCTGCCCGTGTCATCGCTCAGACCTTCTCCTATAAACACATCACTCCTGTCCTGCAGCAACAGCCATATGATATGCACAGCACTTTGACTTATATTAAATGAAAAGTGTTAAATGTTATTTATTAGCATTAGTCACCTGCGATGCTGTCTCACTTGTGGAGGCTTGTTCCAGGTTCCTAGCTGCAGTGTGGGATCCTCTGCACTCCTGTGCATGAAGGACAGACTTTTTAAGTTCAAAGCTTTTGTCTGTCCATTGTGCTGTAAGACTAATCATGCTAATGGGGCTAACACAATGTCCAGATGTCTGTGATAAAACTCACCCAACAAGTCGTGCTTTCAGCTATTAGCTTCTTAATGACATCGGAAATGACGGCTGGTAACTCGAGTAACGTTACGTCGGAAAAATATCTCAGACTGCAGACAATGTAGCGAGGCTCAACGTAGTACATAAATCTTTGGAATCCACCATCCTCACCAACAAAAAATAAAACTTCCACACCGCCAACATTTTGAATTTTCCAGACTCTGCCATGAGATCAGGTAGGTGCGCGTGACATCGCATTGTGCTGCCGCTGCAACGTCATCAAGTTGTGCTGCCGCTTCAGGCAAAAACAGCACCTTTTATATCGGTGAGTTATTTTAATGGGATGGCCTGATATTGAAATTGAAGGCTAATATTGTCCGATACCATGCCGATAATATTGTGCATCCCCAACGCATCGTCTTCAAAATTCTTCTTCTCACTTTCAAAGCTATCCACAACCTTGCCCCTCCGTACCTATCTGACCTCCTACACATCTCCATCCCCTCTCGCTCTCTCAGATCCTCCTCTTCACTACACCTCCATGTCCACCTCCATCTGCCCGCCTCTCCACCATGGGGAGCAGGGCCTTCACCTGCTCTGCCCCTCATCTCTGGAACTCTCTACCCCCTGACTTGCGAAACACCACCTCTCTTTTTCTATTCAATACTGCTCTGAAAACAAATCTCTTTAGACTCGCTTTAACTTTGCTTAACTTTGATTTATTTATTTTATTTTTCAGTTTATTCCTGTTGATCTTTGCACTGTGCTTGTTGTTTGTTTTTACACAATCTTTCTGATATGTTTCTTACTGTCAAGTGTCCTTGTGTGTCCTGAAAGGTGCTTTTTAAATAAAATTATTATTATTCTATTATTATTATATATACACACATATATACGTAACAAATGGTACATATACAAATGTTATTTTGCACATAACACACACATATATATATATATATATATATATATATATATATATATATATATATATATACATATACATACATATATACATATATATATACATATATATATATATATATATATATATATATGTATATATATGTTATGTGTGTGTGCAAGCATACGTGTGTATGTATATGTTTGTATGTACATGCATACATGCGTGTGTGTGTGTGACAGAGTAAGTAATGCGGCCAGCCCTATCATTTGAGCAAACTATGCTTTCTAGGTTTTATATAGAGTATCATTTCCTCAAATGATTGAAGTGGCTATAGTTTAATCTATGGTGGAAAGACCAACATCGCCCCCTTGGCTTGCACCTGTTGTTGGATTCAATTGCACCCTGCACTCACCTGGATCCATCACCATACATGACCTTGGACAAACAAAAAACTATAAATAAATAAATAAATAATCTCTGTATTTATGCTTTAACTCATCCCCACCTGAATGTCTTGCACCAAAAACATTAAGGTTTATTTGCATTTCCTGTTCAATTCCAGTCCAGAAAAGCACTCATCTATTCAAATCCTTCAGCGACAGGGACATCGGCATGCCACTTGTCAACATTACAGTCCTTGGGAAGTACTGCACACTTAAAATCTGAATTACTTTATCGTGGGTTTTTTTTCATTATTATTGCTTCTTTAAGTAAATTGATATTACATTTATTACATCTGTGCTCTTCAGTGTTTTTCTTCAGCAATCCCAGAACAATTTCTATTACAGAAAAAACATCCTGTTCTCAATATGATAATATGTTAGGACCAATGTTTAGATGTATCCGTTCTTAAAACTTTTTGCACAAACCTCAACAAAGAACCAAAGGCTCTCAGAGTTCCTTTCTGCCTTTAGATTCATCTACTCAGAGAACACCTCAAGCACACTGACTTTAGACTTCTGGACCGGTTCTACTGGGGCTCTGTGTGCATTTTAGTAAAATCTGATGTCTTTCTTTCTTTGAATCCATAAAAACCTAAAAGTTCCCGTAGAAGCACACCTGTGGCTGGTTTCTCCTCAGGGATTGGCTGATTGAATAGTCACATGGTTCTGGTTCTGGTTAACAACATTGACTTTTACTAAAAAAATAAACAATAACAGTATTGGTTTGCTTAAAACATTTTGAATGTATGCTAATGCAGGTGCTGTTTGAATGTACACATAAACAGAACATTTGATGTCTATTAAATCAGGAGTCCCCAACCACCAGGCTCAGGACTGTTGCCAGTCCACTGACCATTAGGTACCAAGCCACACAAAAATCTTTAAAACATTACTTTAAAAGAATGTACCACAATTTCCGGTCTATAAGCTGCTATTTTTTTCACACGCTTTGAACCCTGCGACTTACACAATGCAGTGGCAAATGTATAGTTTGTTAGTTTTTTTTCTTGAAGGGCTAATGAGCTTCCTGCCACCAAAACATTTAGGTTCATCACACTCAGGTGCTCACATAGCTGCCCAATACACGCCTCTCTTTGGGGAAAAATTGCTTCAAATACTCTGACTGCACGGCAAACCGCTTCATGAGCTGAGATCGTCTGTTTTATCAATTTGGTGAAAGTTCAGATAACTCCTGCAGTGATTCACACATCAGATTGTTCACAAAAGCACAAGAACGTCTGCCTAGTGCAAAACATTTAATTATATTTTTGTGTTTTATAATAAAATTATAATGCAAAAATGTGAAGCGAAAGCTCTGATGTGATATTAGGAAGCTTGTGAAA